ATGCCTTCTACCACCACCCCCGCGGCTTGGATCCCACCTGCGGCCGACTACCCCAGGCATGGTCAGACTCCTGACAGTCCGACCATGGCCGGGGAAGCCGACCGCGGGGAAGGGGAATCCCGGCGTTGGCCTCTGAAGGACCCTTCAGAATGGTCCTTCAGAGGCCACTGCAGGCATTTTCCCCCAGCTGAGCTGCGGGAGCGCTCCTTGGGAGGCTCCCGCCGCTCAGCTGGGGGAAAATGGTGCCTATGGGGAAAACATTGCAAAGCGATTTTTCCCCATAGGCAACATCGGTATGTGATCGCTTTTCCGATCGCAAAATCCGCATCGGTCTGCGGATTTGTCGTTAAACGAGGCACTCGTTATACGAGGCACCACTGTACTGCTGTTTCTTTTTATGTAAAGGGTAATGCATTACTTTAATTTTTTTAAGTAAATACAGATGGCCCAAAACTCCCCAGGACCACCATTTGTAATGTGTTATTTTCAAACTTCGAGTGTTAAAACATGCCATGAAAAGAAACGAGAACAGACACTATTAATTCCAAACAACATTCAAATTCCTTTAACTTGATAGCAGGCAATTCCATTCTGTCTTGGTTATAAGAGTGGATAGTCAATAATACTTTGTTCTGCTTAAAACATCTATTGCATGAAAAAAGCACAGAATTCATAATACTTGAACATTCATTAAATGCAGAATACATCCTTTGCCTGCCTACACATGTCAAGATATAGATACTGGACATAAACCTGCAATCTTGCTTCAAGTGCTTTGATAGTAAGGTAGCGATTCTCTTGTAGCTCTTCTGCAAAAGATGAGTCATCTTCAGAATGCATTTTAGTCTAAAGAAAGGCAACACACATTAATTCAATACCTAAAAGTAAATGATGTACAGTTACAGAGAACTCTAAGACAGAAAGTCACAGGGACATAAATATATAATTATAAACTTTCTATGGGAAAGTTTTGCAAAATGAAGGCTATGGCTTCCTTTAATGCATCAATCATCTAACGATAATTTTTCCTCTTTTCCTATTCCTTCATCTGCTCCTAGCATTATTGTCTTCTACAGCATGTCCTGTTTTTTCCTGATAAGAACAAAGTAAAATCTCCTCAGAATAATTATTTTAGTGTCTATTAAGAATTCAGGCTTGATTTGATCTACAGCCCAGTTATATTTACTGGCATTCTCTGGGTCCCCTATTGGCAGAAAGGCAGCATATAAATACTTTGAATAAATAAAGAATTTTTATGGAATCTGTAAAATTCTCCTTTAACACTGCATCTTGAATGCATCTCTTTTTTCTCTGCCAGCTTTCATTATTGTCCAGTTTTTACATCCATGTACAATTGGATATAACACATATGATCTTGGATGTGGTCTTCAATGACAGATATTTTTACAATACATTTAAGGATTTCCATAGTTGTTTCATAATGTTCCTTTCAAGTATCAGAATTCTTCTGATATTGGCTACCTTTTCTATTTGAATTGATGATTGAACCATGGTATAGATAAACTTCAACAATTTTGATTTCTTCTTTGTCAAGTTTAAAGTTATATACTAGTTCTTCTGAAAGCTTTACCTCTCCCTCCTTAATTTTCACAATCCTACTTTTGTGCTTTCTTCTTTCACCACCAGCAGTTGTTTCATGTCACTGTTCTCTTTTGCCAGTAATATGTCATCTACACATCTTAAATTTCTAATGTTTCTTCCACTAGTTTTCATTCCAACTTTACAGTATATGAATTTATCCTACTGTATTCTGTTTATGTTTTGCATATAAATTGAAAAGCTTTAATATTCTGACTAAACAAAGTTACTAATGCCTCCTGAAGAAATGACATTACCATAACAATATTAAGAGCACTTGATTTTGCAAGGGCTTGCTATACCTGCCCAGTGTCTGATGATTTGATCTACGTACTCATCAAAGAACCTAGCTAATACATGAACTATTAGCAGAAAAAGCAGAGTTAAGTATAAAATGCATTATTTGCCAATGATGTAGTTCCCCAACATTTCTGCAATACATCTGAAAACCTTACCACATAGTTAACCTTTCCCAAATCTGTTATTTGGAAGTCATTCAAACTTTCTGAAATAGTATCACTTTCTGGAAGGATCAAGATTTGTTCAGTTCCAATGCCAGCAAAATCATCTACCAGAACAGATCTCACATTTGTCCAGCAAGAAGCCACCTGTAACATAATACAAGCATGAAACACGTTTTCATGCATTCATGGTTAAAACTGTGCTATGGACCATTATGGAATGGTTGGTGTTGTTTGCAATGAATAAAAATACTTCATTAACAAATAGTGTGTTAGGTGCTTAAAATATTAGGGTAAAGCAGCTGTCATTTTATCTTGGGACAATACTTCATTTATTTATTTAT